GAACAGAAACAATTTCACCAACATCAAACAAGGCCCCGCTGACTGTGTTTGAGCAAGACAAAAGCAAGACCACTCTGTATTCATATCTAAACTGGATTATTAATAGTTTGCTAAGGATGCCTTATCAAAGCTCTACAAATAGAATGGCTTAAATAACAGAAACGTATCATCACACAGTTCTGGAGGCTGGAAGTCTGAAACCAAGGTCTCTGCAAGATCACACTTCCTCCTAAAGTCAGGGAAGGATCTGTTCCATGCCACTCTCCTACTTTCTGGTACTGCCCTGACTTGTGACAGTGTAACTCCAATCTTCATACAATATTCCTCTGGTATGCACTTCTCTATGTCCAATTTCTCCCTCTTTAGAAGGACAAGTCATATTGGATTAAATGTCCACTCTATTAACTTCATCTCAACTAATTACATCTGCAACCACCCAATTTCCAAATAATTCTGAAGTACTGGAAGTTGGAGCTTCTACAAATGAATTTTAGGAGGGATACAGTTCAAGCTATAACTCATAAATTTAGGCGAAAATAAGGACATTGTTCAAACCACAAAAATTACCAGCATCCCCTGTATTAGATATCAAGGACAGATATACCAAATTATCACAGTTTTGGTGCCTTGAAACAACAGAAATTTGTCCTCTTACAGTTCTGGAGGCCAGAGTCTGGGCAATAATCAAGGTGTCTACAGGCTGTGCTCTAGGAAAGAATCCATCTTTGCATCTTCTAGCTCCTGATGGCTGCCAGCAAACCCTGGTTTATAACCATCTCACTCCAGGCTTCCATGCCATCGTCTTCAAATCTCTCTTTACTCACTCCATCTTCCACGTGCCTTCTCCTGAGAGAGGGAGACAGAGATAGATACAGAGAGAGAGAGAGAATGCATGTGAAGTTTCTTCTGTCTTTCCCTTATAAGAACACTTGTGATTAAACCTAGGGCTCAGTGGGATAATCCAAGATCATCTCCCTAATCCCAAAATCCTTGCTTTAATCATACCTGCAAAGGCCATTTTTTCCATAGAAGGTAACATTCAAAGGTTCCAGGTGTCAGGATCTGGTACCTTTGGCAGCCGTTATTCAACCTACTGCATCTTCTGTGCTAGCTAATGAAGGTGACTGCTGCTTCTTTACCGATAACAGCTTTAATCTCATGTCATGTATCTCCTAAATGAGATTTATTAATATATCTACTCACAGAATAACCTCCACTTCCAATCAGAGAAAAGCCCTGCTCCTGAAACTCTCAAAATCAGTTGACCTAAGCCCAAATTCTACAAGATATATAACACCTCTCGTGAGGTGCCTCACGGCTCCCCTGGATATGTGATCTGTCTTGTTGCAAGGATTCAATTAACATGGTTTTGTTCAATTACAGGCATTTTCGTGGTAGTAGTTGGTTGGAGAACCTTAACAGTAACATAAAAACCATATCACAAACAAGAAAATGCTTAAATTTGTCAACATAGAAGTAATGTCATTAAAAGATGGCAAAGTTGGGACCAGCAGTTGGCGTAATAGCTATGTTGCTGGACTTCCATGTAGTAGACCACAGTTCGAGTCCCAGACCTGGTGGCTTGAACTCACGCCAGGCACGTGTGTATGCATGCCCAAAATCCCAAGAGGAGAATGGAGAAGGACTGCGGCATGGCCATCCGCCGTGGGGGGTGATTTCTCACTGTCTGTCTCTCTGCCTCTGTCTTTCAGCGAGCACATGCGCCCTATAGCAAAAACCTCTCCCCACCCCCCCAAAAAAGATGGCAGAGTAAGAACCTCCAAACAATCATGCCTAAAATCTTGAGAGGAGAATGAATGGAGAGGGACTGCGGCATGGCCATCCGCCGTGGGGGGTGATTTCTCACTGTCTGTCTCTCTGCCTCTGTCTTTCAGCGAGCACATGCGCCCTATAGCAAAAACCTCTCCCCACCCCCCCAAAAAAGATGGCAGAGTAAGAACCTCCAAACAATCATTTCCTTCGTAACAGCAATGAAAATACTAACAAAATTTATCAGAATCAACTACTTCAGAACTCTGGAGATTAACCAAAAGCTTACAGCAATCTGAGGAAAAAGAGAGGCATTTATATTTGTTTTTTTAAAAAAAAATTGAATCTCAGTAAGAATAGAGAGCTTTGTGGCATTTTAACTTACCTAGACTCATCACCTTCCCTCCAGTGCACAGTAACCTTAAAAACTAACAGTCTGTAATCACAGGATAACCAATAGCCTAGTAGCCACTGAAAAAGTTGGAACAGGGTGGTAGCTCTTTCAAAGTTCCATTTCAGAGAATTGTCTTTATTTGACCTGACCCAGAGTTCACCCATTGTGAACAGTCTTTTATCCCTTCTTTGGGAGCTTTTGTCAAAATCAGTAAGCAGAATGATTTAACATTGTAGCTGCCAGAGAGGGGAGATAACGGTTTGGGCAAACAACAAAGCTAACCAAAAAACTAAAAAGGAGAAGCTGAAGAATGAAATTCCGTAGGGAATTTTAAAAGAAAGTCATACATGTACACATGGTTTTGAAAAGAAGGCCACAGGGCTGTGTGCATATTCAGGAAAGACACGCAAAGACCCTGAGCATTCACTTCTAGCTGATCTTGAGGCTTCCTGCAAGTAGGAAGTGAAGGCTGATCCAGAGTTGGAAAGTGCTTGGGTAAGTATTGAAAGCATGCCCCAGCATATATTCATAGCTCATCGGCAAAGACTGAGAGACATATTTGTTCCAGGCATTCAAGGAAATTTCAATCTAATCAATAGTGATGACTTTTAGAGGAACAGACTTCAGTGGACACACACAACAAAAAAAATACAGACTTCACAGAATTTGTCCAGGAAAGTCACTAAAACAAACAAACAATACTAATAATAACACAAATATTTAAAAAATAGGAAAAAAGGAGAATCTGTTTTTCAGAACTGTCAAATGTTATTTAGAATGCCCAGGGGACCAGCAGTTAGCGTAATGGCTATGTTGCTGGACTCCCACGTAGTCGACCGCGGTTCGCGTCCCAGACCCGGTGGCTTAAAACTCACGCCGGGCACGTGTGCGTGTGTGCCCAAGATCCCGAGAGGAGAATGGAGGAGAAGGGGTTGTGGCGTGGCCATCCCCCCTGGGGGGTGATTTCTCGCTTTCTGTCTCTCTGTCTCTGTCTGTCTGGCAAGCGCACGCGCCCTATAGCGAAAACCTCTCAAAAAAAAAAAAAAAGAATGCCCAGTTTTCAACAACAAGAAAAATTATGTCACGCAAAGAAACAAGCAAGTGTTGTCCATACATAGGGGAAAAGAAAAGTCAATTGAGGGACCAGCAGTTAGCATAATGGCTATGTCACTGGACTCCCACGTAGTCGACCGCGGTTCGAGTCCTGGACCCGGTGGCTTAAACTCATGCAGGGCGTGTGTGCGTGCGTGCCCAAGATCCTGAGAGGAGAATGGAAGAGAAGGGATTGCGGCGTGGCCATCCCCCCTGGGGGGTGATTTCCTGCTTTCTGTCTCTCTGTCTCTCTGTCTCTGTCTGTCTGGCGAGTGCACGCGCCCTATAGCAAAAAGCCTCTCCAAAAAAAAAAAAAAAAAGTCAATTGAAACAGTCTCTCAGGAAGTTCAGACATTGGACCTACTAGACAAACCATTTAAATCAACTCTTCTAAATATATTCCAAAAAGAGGGAAAAAAAAGGAGCTACATTAAAATAAATAAATAAATAAAGGAAAGTTTTAGAATAATGTCTTACCACACAGAAAATAACAATAGAGACAGATATTCTATGAAGAAACCAAATAGAAATTCCAGAATTAAAAAGAAACAATAAATGTGGGACCAGCAGATGGTGTAATGGTTACATCACTGGACTCCCATGTAGTCAACCAGAGTTCAAATCTCATACCCAGTGACTTGAAACTCATGCTGGGTGTATATGAGTTCCTGCTCATGCCCAAAATGCTGAGAGGAGAATGGAGGAGAAGGGATTGTGGCACCCCCCCCGGGGATGGGGAGTGATTTCTCACTTTCAATCTGTCTCTCTCTCTCTCTGGCGCGCGCACATGCCCTATAGCAAAATTCTTTCTCTAAAAAACAAACAAAAAAAAGGAAACAATAAATGTGTGAGCTGATAGATATGATAATGATCCTGATTTGATCACTATACATCTATATATGCATTGAGATTTCACACTGTATTCCCGTAAATATGTACACTTACTACTTGTCAATTTAACATACCAATTTTTTAAGAATTATTTTAATTTTATTTACTCATTTATTTTAATTTGACCAGAGAGAGAGAGACATACACAGAGATAGAGATAGAGAGAGGGGGAAAGTGAGAAAGCAAGCCATCAGGTCTGGGACTCCACCCATGGTCAGCCATGAGGGACTGTCCAGTGCCTTTACCACCATGCCATCTGCTGGTCCCTTAAATAACAATTTTTTTAAAAGTACAATAATTTGTGGGCCAGCAGGTGGTGTGGAGATTAAGGTGTTGGATTTCACATGGCCAATAGTGCAGTTTGAGTCCCAGATCCACTGACTTGATAACCGCACCAGGTGCTGTGCATGTATGCCCAAAATCCCAAGAGGAGACTGGAGGAGAAGGAATCGCAGTGTGGTCATCCCTCTCGTGGGGTAATTTCTCACTTTTTCTCTCTCTCTTTTTGTCTTTCTCTGGAAAGTGTACATGTCCTATCACAAAAACAAGAACATGAAACAAACAAAGTGCAATTATTGAAATGAAAACTTTACTAGAGAGTTTGAAGATCATATTTAAGCAGAGAGAATAAAAAATATATAAAGCAAGTTTTTAGATAGGTAAATTGAGACTATCCTATAAGAGAAAGAATAAAAGGCATAGGAACAAAAAATAAACAGAGCCTCAGGGAGCTGCCACAACCAAGAGAGAAGAGGACAGAAAAAAATACTTGGAGAAGTAATAGCCACAAACTTCTAAAACCTGATAAAAAAACATTCATCTACATTTCCAAGAAGTTTAACGATTTATGACTTAGGGCATGAGTGCTCACCAAAGAGACAGTGAGAGGGAAAGTGAGAAACCACCCACCAGGGAGGATGGCCACACCACAATTCCTTCTCCTCCGGGCACGTACACACACCCAATATGATTTTCAAGCCAGTGGGTCTGAGACTTGAACTGCAGTTGGCCAGGTAGGTGTCCAGCAACTCTGCCATCTGTTGGTCTTTCCAACTACTTTTTATGATTAAAACATACACACACACACACACACACACACACACACACTAAAATAAAATAGAAGGGAATAGCTTCATCTGATTAAAGACCATCTACAGAAAGCACATAACTAACATCATAATTAATGGTTTGAGACTGCAAACTTTACCCCTAAGATCAGGAGACATCCAGGTGTGTTCCCATTCATCATTTATATTTAACATTTTACTGGAAATTCTAGTCAGTATAATCAGGCAAGAAATAGAAATAAAAGATATCCATATTGCCAAGGTAGAAGTAAAATTATTTCTTATCAGGGAAGACATAATTTTGTATACAGAAATCCTAATGAATCCACAAAATGACTACTAGAACTAATGAACAAATTTGCAAAGGATGATAGATACAAGAACATTAAAAAAATACAAAAAAAATCAATGCACAACCAGAAAATTAATTTTAAAAATTCCCTTTACAATAGCAACAAAATAAAATATAACATCTAGAAATAAACTGAGCCAAATAACTACAAGGTTAGTACACTGAAATTATAAAACATAACTGAAAGATTTAAAGAAGACCTAAACAAATAAAAAATACATCCATGTTTATGGATTGGAAGACTTAATAATGCTCAGATTGGGGGGAGGGGAATTGCTCT